CTGCAGCTTGGCGCCTTGTGCAGTGAGCTGCGCCAACAGTTCATCACGGGGGGTGTCGCGGTCGTAGCCCCCCAGGACGATGGCACGCCTCCTTGTAGCGGACCCCGCAGTGCTTGCCGAACCTGTCGCGGTCGTAGAGGAAGCCCCCCCACTTTCGAGTAGAGCCACTCGCGCCTCCAGTCGAGCAAGTCCATCCCCCTGTTTTTTAGTGTGCTCCTGAACCGCATCGAGCCTGGTGTGCATCTCGGTCATCTTGGTCTCCATGCTGTCTGTGATGCGCTTCTCCATGCCCCCCATGACTCCACGGAGCTCACCCAGGAAGCCTTGCACCTCCACTCGTAGCGCTGTCTTGACGTCTGCGATGCTGAGCCCCGGGCCGGCGATGTCGCCGGGGGGGGTGGAGAATGCCTCAGTTTCGGCCTGAGACGCTCCCGCGGGGGTGTCGTCATCCAGCGCGATGGCCTCGCCCCCTTTGCGTTTCTGCCCCGCCGAGGGGCTGGAAACAAGCCGCCCAAGTGCCTCCTTCTCCACGTTCATGGTGTCGACGGAGCCCACGCCGCACCACGAAGCCAAGCAGCCGCGCCCCCAGGACAGCAGCGGTCACCCTTGAGGTCCGAAGACACCGTGCACGTAGGAGACGGCCCCCTCGTGGTAGACGCGTAGTTTTTCAAACTCGACGAAGAGGACAATGGCACGCCGGTGCTGGCCGGAGGCTCGGACTACCCCCACAGCAAAGGCTACTTTTTGCTTTCCGTTTGCCCGCAAGGACACTGGGGCTGGGGCTCGAACCACTCACGGCCTTGAGCCAAAATGGCTACGGTTGCTCACTCTCTCTGTCTCTCTCTTGTCTGTCTCGCTCTCTCTCTCTCTCTCTCTCTCTCTCTCTCTCTCTCTCTCTCTCTTTCTTTCTTTCGGAGGGCGTGGGGGCCGGAGCCCCCGGGCGTCATCGCCCGCCCCGGATCGGGGTGGCTCAGAGGTTCGGTGAACAGCGATGGTGTGCGAGACTGTGCTTGTTTCCCCCCCCCCCCTTTCCCCTTTCACTATACCTGAATGCCCCCATACGCTTGCCGGGTTGTCTCTGCACACCTCTTCAGCCGTGAAACACCGCTTGTTTGACCCCTTGCAGGATTGTTAACGCCCCAACAACCCCAACATATGAAACGTGAGACCTCGCCCCCGTTCAACCCCTAAGGTATCGCCCTACCTGCAGCTTGGGTCAGTGAAACTGGGTGTGACCGATGACGACATGTTGGACGTTGTTTGCCCCCCACTTGGCTCCCCTTACCGGCAACCTACCCATACACGGGCCCTACCCCCGGAACCTTACATCCATCATGTGTCAGCTCGGTCCTGTGCGTTCAGGCTTCGGGGCTCCCTTTCACACAACAACACCCTCCTCAAACGGTACAAATCCTACCTGCCAAACCCTCATCTCTAGTTGGCCCCCTGTGTCTTCAGTGTCTCTCTCTCTCTCTCTCTCTGTCGCTCGCTTTTGCTCTTATTTTTCCCCTTCCTTCTTCTTCTTCTTCTCTTTGCACTCGGATTTGCCTTACAGCAGTAAGAGTTTGCTAAGTAGCCGTCTATCTTTTCCAAGACAGGTACCTAGTTGTTAGGCGGTCTACCTACCCGTCTAATTTCAGGGGGACTATCTACAGGGGTCTACCGGAAACGGTAGGTACCAAAACATAGGAACCTCCAACAGGTAGGATAGGGCCCTATGGTTTTCAGATAGGTCCCTAACAACCTTTCTTGCATAGCGTTTCATGTACGCACTGTCACTTCCCGCCGCGTATGAGTAGGACGAAGAGTAGAAGCAGGAGTAAGAGTAGTGGTGGCCGCATAGGTAGTGGTATGTAGCTGTAGGGTGAAAATAGTACTTGTACTATATTTGAGGTACTACTAGCTACTACTCGCACGACCACGACCACGACCACGACCACGACCACGACCACGACCACGACCACGACCACGACGACGACGACGACGACGACGACGACGACCACCACCACGACAAGCACGACCGACGACGACCACGACGACCGACGACGACCACCCCCCCCCCTCCACCCCCCAACCACCCCCCCCCCCTTTTTCTTTTTTCGAACCCATCACGCGCGCGTTGTGTTTACAAAATTGAGGGGCCCCAACCCCCGCAGCTCTTTAAGCCGCGATAGACCCCGATCCCTTTGAGACAGGTCCCTCTGACTAAAAACCCCGAAGCCCTCAACCTTAAAAACCCCTAAACCCTAAACCCTGAGAACCCCTAAACCCTAAACGGCCTAAACACGAGAACCCCGAAAGCCTAAAGAACCCAAACCCGAAACCCCAAAAACACCTACCCCAAACCCAAAAAACAATCGAAAAACTCTGAGCACTAAACCGGAAAAATCATAAACCCTAACAACCCTTAAACTCTCAACCAGAAAAGACTGCAAACCCCTGGACCATAAACCCTAAAAACACATAAACCCTGAACCCTAAAACTCCTAAACACAACGCTCTAACAACCCCCAAACCCTAAACCCTAAAAAGCCCCTAAACCCTAAACACCTTTAACAGCCCTAAATCCTCAGCCTGAAAACGCCACAGCCACAAACTCCAAAATAAACTAACCCTGAAAACCCCTAAACCCTAAACCCTGAAATTCCCTAAGGCCTAAACCCTAACAAACCCCTAAGCCCTAAATCCTAAATCCTAAAACCCCTCATCCCCCTAGACAACTAAACCCTAAACCCTAAACCCTCAAAAACCCTAAACCCTAAAGCAACCCTAAACCCTAAACCCTGACAACAACTAATCCCTAATATATTAAAACCCCGAAAGCTAAACCCAAAAAACCTAAACCTATTACAAAAACAAACTAAACCATAAAACCCCAAGTCTAAACCCTAAAAATCCCTGAGCACCGCTAGTCCCGAAGCCCTAAAACTCCCTAAGCCCTAAACCCAAAACAAAACAAAGCCCTAAACCCTGAACCCTAAACCCAAAAAAACTAGAACCGAAAAAACCCTAAACTTCAAACCCAAAAAACCCTAAACCCTACACATCCCCAAGCCCTAAACCCTAATAAAGCCTAAACCCCTAAAACCCTGAACCCTACACATCCCCAAGCCCTAAACCCTAATAGAGCCTAACACCCTAAACCCGAAACACCCCTAAACCCTAAAACCTCAGCCCTGTGTCCTATAACCTCCGAAAAACCCTTAACCCCTAAAACCCCCTAAACAGCAAAACCCTAAAGACCCCTAAACCCAAAACCCAAAAGCCTGAAAACACAAACCCTTACACCTAAACCCTAAAAACCCTTAGTCCCTAAACCCAAAGAAACCCCTAAACCCTAAACCCTGAACCCCTAAATCCTAAAAACCCCCTAAGCTCTAAACCCAAAAAACCCCAACATTAAGACCCCCCAGGCCCTGGACCCTAAAAAACCTCAAACCCTAAAACCCAAAACCTAACCCTTAAACCCCTTAAGCCCGAAACCCTAAACACCTCTAACCCTAACCCGAAAAATTAAAGACCCCAGACCCTAAAAAGCCCTATGCCCTCAACCCAAAAACCCTAAACTCAAAAGAGCCGTATACTCTGAACCCAATGAATAAACAAAAAACCGAAACCTGAAACCCGAAGAACCGCAAAACCCTAAACCTTGAAAACTCCCTACACCCGAAACCCAACAAAACCCTAAACCCTAGACTACAAGAACCCTTCAACTCTAAAGCCGAAGAATGCGTAAACCCTAAACCCTTGAGTCCCTGAACCCTCACTGCAAAACCAAACGCTCTAACCCTAAAAGCGCAACAGCCCAAAACCCAAAAATCCCTGAATCCAAAAAAAGCCTCCTGGCCACTGAACGGGCTGCACTGACCGGCAGTGCATGACAAGAGTTCAAGCATGCTCAAGCGCGGCAAGTCTGTGCGATACAGTGGGTCACGTTTATTCAAGCACTGCACGCCTGGAGGTAGTTAAGAATATGTTGTTGACAAGAAGTGTTATGCATCTAAGAATAGAAATCGATAAGGCATAGGGGTCTATGGCTTTCTGGATAGGGTCTGCCTATGGAAAATGGATTGGGGTCTACGTGGCACAGGGGGTAGTATAAGTAGAAATAGGGTCTACGCATAGGGTTCTATGGAAAAGCAGAAGACCCTATGTATAGGGATCTATAGGAAAGTCGACAAGGCCTATGCATAGGGGTTTGGAATTCCGACAGAAGGTTGACAGCATCTATCCAACAACCACAGGGTCCATATACGGGTCTATCGACACCTATGATAAACAGCTACTTCTCCGACCTATCTTCGCCTGACAGACGCGCAGTTCGCGTGGAGTATTCGGGTAACAACAGCACACGGTGTCGCGGCAGGAGAAGAGAGTGGGCCAAGGGCACTTGGGCACGGTGCGAACGAGTGTGGGCCCGCAGTCGATGCTTAGCGCTCGGGTACTCGTTTGAAAGAGTTCCAATCACTCGCCCCATCACGCGGTGTCTTGGCCGTCACCGTCTCCCGGTCGCGCGTGTCGATTCGGTGTGGTTTCTGGCACTGGCACATGGTGACTCGGCTGATTAAGAGATCCTTGCAAAGTCCCCTGTTTCGCTGAGGGCTTGGTGCGTCTCGCAGGCTGTTTTGTGCTGTTGCAGTGCTTGACGCAGATCCTCTCCTCGCAGTCCGGCTCTGGTTTGACCCACAGACCCCTCTCTTTGGCTGCCTTGGTGGTTTAACTGGGGTTGGGGTGCAGCGTTCTCTGGAAGAGGTTGCAATGGTGTGAAGGTCCTCCTCCGTTTGTTGTCGTGCGTGGGTGCGTCGGGGAAAAGGTGTGGGCCCTTTGCCAGCGCACTGTCTCTCTTGCTTGCTTGCTTGCTTGCTTGGCGTATGACCCCGCGAGGGGGCCGCCCCGAGGGGCACGCACGACAGAGCTAGTCGGTGTGAGATTGGTGCTGGTGTCTCTCTCTCTCTCTCTCTCTCTCTCTCTCTCTCGCTCTCTCTCCCTCAGGCTAGGGCAGTTTTGCCCGGAAGCTTGAAAGTGCCTCGCCCCAGGTACTCATTCACACCAAGAGGACCTTCGGGGGCAGACAGCCACTGAGCTCAACGACTGCAACTCACGCAGTGGGCCCCTTGCCTGCAATCTCAATCCAGTCTCCAGGCCTCTTGCCTGGCACGCCCAAGATTCCAAGAACAATGTGGCCAAGAGCCCCATATCGAAGAGAATGCATCAACACAAGAAATGGGCTTGCTGTCCAGGTAGAGACCCATTTTTCCGCCTCAACAGGGCATGGCGCCATGCAAGAACAATCCCCTACAAGCTTATATCAGCATTTGCAGAAGGCCACCGTCATCCCAAGTCATCTCCTTGCCATCCGGCATCTTCACGGTCCCGGGTCGATAAATTTTGACCTCGGACTCCCAAAAGTTGCAAGCAAAAAGGTGGTGATGGCGACATTGCGCCAGCTTCTGCCAGTTGCCTCTTTTGCACTTACGAATTGCAAGCAGCTCTGTGAAAGGTGTGAAATTCGTTTGATGAAGTTGCCCGTGTCTCGCTGGTCGAGCCTACGCCCAAAACATTGCTGCCCGGAGATGATGTTTCGAGATGCAAAGAAAACACCAACCTGCGATTGGAAGAGGGAGGCATGGGTCATTGCTTGATCCAGGCCCTTCTGCAACTCAATCCTTTAACAGGAATACTCAGCGCGGGAAGACGGAACGAAAATGCTGAGCCGAAAGCTACGAGATCAACGTAGCCAGCAGCTTCGTTTCCGGTGACCGGCGTGTACCTGCAGGCTGACATTTTAGGAGATTGCAGGGAGTGCCGATTGCTCTCGTGGGTGCTCTGTGCTGCCATGGCCACTTCCTGTCGATCTCGGCCTTCGCCTTGTCTGGGTCCGGCCTTGAGTTTGTTAACGCAGAGCAACAGAGCACAACAGAGCACAAGGGCGCGAAGAGATGTGTCTACAGTGAGTCTACAGCTCTTTGAACCCTCCACAATCTACACACTTCGCCACTTCGGGGTACGGACTTGCCATTCCAGGTATTGGATGAGATGGCGCTCGGAGGATTGGGGCCATAGATGACAATGTGTTTCCCCACAGGCAAACCTGAGTCTGGAGACATGGCAAAAAACAGCTTGCAAGCATGGTTGGACTGTGGCTCGAGCCCAGAATCGTCTTCTTGCTTCCAAATGAGAGCCGGATGCGCTTTGTGTCGTGCGACAGCTCTACAACATCAGACACCTCGCTCAAAAGTGCGACGCCCTACAGAACCTTGGAAGATCCGGCTGGTACAACTGCACAAAAGCATACCGCGGCATCTGGCCTGGACACGTTTCCTCTCCCTTGTCAAGAAAACTTTCGGTGGCCTGAACAAAAAAGCCGTCATCCAGTGCTGGCATGATCCGGAACCTCTTACTCTCTACTTCTACTAATAATTCGGCATGGCATGTATCCTTGATGTCTGTTCCAACCCCGTGCGATGCCCTAAGACCGAGTGCTGAGTGAAAGAGCAGCACACTTGCGCCTTGGCCAGAAATAGAGCAAAAGTCCGACCTGCAAAGTAACCATCTCGACTCGTGCCCCATGCTGTGTCATTCTGTTGCCGAGGAGCTCCTACGGCGAAGACTGCCGTGGGCACCAATACCTTCATCGCATCGTTGCCGTCCATCGCGCCAAACTGCGAACTGGGCAACGGAGTGACACAGCATGGGCAAAGAGATGGGATGTTCAAGTGCTGCTTTTGCTGATGGCGAGGTGATCCAATGACCTCTGATGACTTCTCTCAATGCTCTCAACGCTGCTAGATTTCGACCTAAAGCCGAGCTGCGGTGGCTACCATCCCTCTTCAACTGAGTCCAGAAAGGTCATTCTTCAGTGACATCTGGAGACTGCTGAGTCAAAGCACACTTGTTCGGACTGCGCCGCGTTTCTCCATTGCATCAGTCTGGAGCTCAAAATTGGCAAACGCGCCAACTGCAACGCCATGCAGGCCAATTGTCTGAATGCGCACCGGCATCTTGAGTGAGCTTCGAGTCAGCATACGTATCTCAAGGTGTCCGGACAGTCAGCGAGCATGTGCAAGCATCTAGGCTCTTCGAGAATGACATGCCTAAGCCATGCAAACCGCAGGTCACGCTCTGTAAGAGCACAAGGAGGGAGCATCATTGCGGAGGGTTCTTCTCATCTACAGCTGGTCGAGTTGACTCTACAAGTCACTGCATTGCGATGCATTCTTAGGTCTTAGGTCTTAGGCCATGGACAGGGACTCAGGGACTTGGACTGGAGATGAGTCAGGCGGCAAGAGTCAACGCCTCACTGTCAAGCTCTCACTTCTCCATGAACACCTTCCTGGGCAAGGCTGGGCTCCCGCATTCGGGAAACAGAGGACACAGGCGGACTACGACGTAGCTGCAAGCTCAGTGAACAGAGCTGTTGAACGTGTTCCTCGGAGCATTCTCGCACAAAGCCTCCAAAGAACTTGAGACGGGCCCAGATCTCTCTTCTCTGCTCATCCTCTGACACCCTCTGCGAAGGCCGCTAACACAGGCTTGCAGCTCAGATGCACGTTGTTGAGCCATCCTAGGCTGGGAACGAAAGTCTGCTGCCAGCAGACAACAAAAGCACAAACACTTTGACCTGAGAAGCCGGTGCAGCAAAGACTCGGATGTATTCTCGCTGTTCCTGCACACTGGGTGCCAAGAATCTTCAGCAAAGCCAAGATTTGAGTTTCCAACAAAGAAGCGTGACAGTCAGACAACCATGCCTTATCCAGTGCCATGGCATCGATGAAGTCGCACAACTCGGTGTTAATGCCCGCCTCAACTGCTGGCAGTACGCATGCGGTGTGCTGCCCTTCCCCGTCCCGTTTTGCGTTTGCATGATGCGACCCTCGCCTCGGCCAACAGCTCGTCAAAGCTCTCCTGTCCACTGAAGATCATGCTGAGGGGGCCGCTAAACTTTAGCCATAAATAGGAAGGACCTAAGGAGAACCCATCGGCAACGCTGCAAGCCGTGACGGTCTGCCCGTGTCTGTGGCTGTGCCCGCTAAGTCTTGTTTGTATTTTTACAATAAACTTTCTTTTTCTCGGCATCAGAGCTGCCTGCAACTTCTCGTCGATGTCTTCGAACTCCGGGCCTACTGAGCAAGACGCTGAATTACGGCGCCTAACAAACTCAGCGCTGAATTGCTCGGTTCTCCCTCGCGACATTCTTAAGGCTCAACAATGGGATGAAACTCACTGACAGCCGGCGGAGCGGCCGTTGTAGGCACTCATGCTGTCCTTCTCCTGGCCAAAGCGCAGTCGCTTGCAGGGCTTGGTTGGGGTTAAAGATGTTAAAGGGAGGTGCCGGAGTGCATCGTGCGCTGTGAGTGAGTCATTCTATGGAGCCTATCCATCCCAAAGGTGATACGAACCGCAAATTTTCGGTCAACCTCCGACCTCCTTGCTCGCGAAGGATTTCACATTGCCAATGACCTGAGTTCCACGGTGTGTGGGAAGGTATCGACCGATGGGTATGTCCTCCTTCCGCAGAATCCCGGCTTCGCCATCACTGCGCTGTACACATTCAATTCAGAGGAAGCTACTCATCGTACTCTGAGGTTCGGGCATAGCGATGGTCCTCGCCCGTCTGCGTGCTGCAGTAGAAGGACACGCCAGCACCACCTCTGGACAAACACAGAAACAATCTGGCTCACAAGGTCCCGGTTCCCCGAATCATGCATGTAAGGAGTCGGAATGCAGGTCTTTTCACACTCAAAAAAAGTCGGGGGTATCATTTAGCAACCCGCATCAACTGACCCTGAATGGTCCCATGCCCTCGTAAGCAGAGCCACTGGACTTGCTCTCGAGGGTGATGCAGAAGTCTGTGGCTTCCTGGGACCAACTGTGACTCCAAGGTTTGGAGTAAAGTCAGAGTGCAAAGCCCAAGGAAGTGTAGGATCGAGAAAGTTTTCCTCCCAAACACAAACGCAACAAAACAGACCCTGTGCAAGGAATAGTGGCCATTCGCAACCCCTGAAGCGTGATTGAGCCTCATGGTTCCTGACTAAAACCCGTTCACCGGCCACAGATGTTTGTCGATGTCTGTCGACGTCTGTCAGGCGTAGGGGTTCGTGACCGTGACCTCTCATGCTGCAGGAAACGGAGAGACAAGGCCAGCACGTACTCGGCGCCAGCATCCTGGTCACCACCTTCCACATCAGCCGTGGGGTCAAAGGGGCTGGTGAGCTGCCACTCGATCGTCACCTGGCACTCTGCTGATGCTGCTGTTCAGGTCTCATGCTAGGTATCGGGCGTACCGCCAGCAAAGAAGGATCTCTTCAATTCTGCTTTGGCATGCTTGATTTCTGCGGATCTGTGTTCAATCAACTCATGCAAACTTCACCTGAACTTTCTGGACAGGCTCAGGCACCACCGGAGTTCGCAGCTGTGATTCGTGAATGTCTCTTGAGCAGCGGCCTCCTCTATGAAGACAAGCTTGTGTGCTGTAACATATCGGGAGATCCTTTTGAGGGCGCCGTAAGAACTCTTCGAGTGGCGTGCCTTGAAAGCCAATCCCACCCACCAACCCTCCAGCACCGACACCTTCTTTGTTGAAAATCCGGTGGGAAGGTTACATGCACGTACGACCTTCTCGTACCCTTCTTGTGAGAAATTCGGGAGCTTTGGGATTTTCGCACGGCCATGGAGGATAAGCAACCAAAGCAATGAAGCGCCCAGCGGTCACGGGGCCTGCTTGTCTCCGGCGGTCCGCTCCAGCTGCATGTTGACGTCGCCCTGGTCCAGCTGCGTCGAAAATGCGTGAAAAGTGCAGCCCTGCTCTTATGACACCAGAACCGAACTCCAAGTTCCACGATGAAAAGTTGCTGCATGTGCAATGGATGGGCCGGAAAAACTTCACAATGTTCCCCCCTCCCGCCATGATTTCACCAGCCTCGGTCTCAACAAGCTTGAAGTCCGAGCTCTTAAGAAACTTCTGGATTTCCTGGTGCTGTGCAGACGTGCACTATGTGCAATCACCCTTGCGTGCCCTCAAAAGCACATTGGCAGCAACTGCGCAAAGCACCAAGTCGAAACCCTGTATGGTAGGAGCCCACGCAGAAGCAGAAAGCGAAATGCAAGTGCGTTCGTGAAAAATTCAGATTGCTTCCTAGTGCACTATGGCATGCTTTTCCCGAAGTAGGTGCTTTCGCAAGGCGTCTCGGGCAACATCTAAGCGGAGGCATTTGCAGTACCCAACAGCATGCTACCAGAAACAAACTCGGGCCGGTCCGCTAGAAGCACTTCCAGAAACACTATGCCTTCTTGCTGAACAGCCTTATGCAGTTGCAAAACTATGGGGCAGGCGTTCTACCGACTGTCCAAAACCAAAGGCGTATTGCCACATAGAATAATCCTGTCCCCAAAGAAATGCTACCACATGCGTTTTGGCTGAGCATTTCGCCTTGGTAGCGGACCATAGCAAGAGACACATAGTGCAAAGCTGGCCTTCGCCTGCTGATACTGCTCCTGTCCAAATGAAAGCTAGAGCAGCAAAGCGCAGCAAGCAGTTGGGTATGTGAAAACTTTGGCCGTCTGAAAGCTGCCCATCGCACCACCTCTGTGTGGGCACTAGTTACTGTTCGAACCTGCTCGTGGCTGATCTCAGCTTGCAGGTCTTTGGCCTTTGCAAACATGACAAGGCCAGGACAGTCTTTCTATTGAAAACGTTTAGGATGCCCTGACGAAGGCTGCTAGTTCTGAGCACGTTTATGACAATCGTCCGAAAAACTAGCATGTCACCGCATGTCTCACTTCCTGAGTTCGACGCCACCTTGGCCATGGCAGGCATGGAGAAGCACCTCAGTCAATGCCAAGTTCAAGACACATGGCTGCAAGTTCTGCTGCCTGCCTGTGCTTCGAATGAAGCAAGGGCCGAAGTGCTTGAGCTCGCAGAACACTTCCTGCGCAGCATCTTGAAAGACATAGCTGTAAGCAGGCGCATTCACGCTGTCCGCAACCCGTACCATTCATTTGGTCAAGAGTATTTGTCAATAAGGCAACTTCATGGACTTTGGGGATCATTCCAGTATGTTCCCCAAAACTCCCAAACATCCCGCAAAACTCCCAAACGTACCGCAAATTCAAAAATATTCCAGAACATGCCATAACATTCCAGCAAGTCAGAGTACTCACGATATGATCTGTCAGTATGAGTGCCATCATGTGGGCGACGAAGCCCCTGAACACACAGAAAGCATGAGTTTGATAAACCTAAGAAACCACCTTGCCAATAAACGTAACCTTTATGCCGCAACTTTCTGGAACGTCTTAATCCGTCCCCGTCCAGAGGCACGTGGCACTGCTCCGCCAACGAGCCTGGCGACCACCGGCAGCATCCTGCAATGCATTTCACACGACAAACCCTCACCGTTGCATGAGATATGTCAGATATGACATTGAATGTTCCCTTGACTCAACATTCCCGGCCTGTCGACTCACTGGTCTGTAACCCGGTGAACCGGCCAAAGTCCCTCGAGCAAAACTCAGGCGAAAGCAAGCAACGAACGCATCGCGGCCGCCACCACTTGTCCTACGGTACGGGGTTTTGGGTTGAAATTTACGGTTTCTGAGCGCTTCGGGTTTAAGGTTTAGGGCTTAGGGCAACCTAGGGCGTGTCATGCGACGGGCTCGAAACATGAATCATTCCGAACGGATGAACCAACTGGAGATCCCTGTTCGTGCATAAGAACGACAGCGTTGACGAAGGAGAAGATCAGAACTCTTGGGATATGAAGGTGAAGACATTTGGGTTGAAGAAGAATCCCGAAATCGAAAGCCGAAGAAAAGCGCTTCAATGATTGCAAGGATCGTTGCAATGGCTGTTTTGTGAGAATGGAGAAGCAGTACAAGGCTGGCGAGCAAACAGGAGGAAGAATCGGGAAGAAGGCCAAGAATTGCACAATGTTGTTTTGTTGTAATTCGCCTCGGCTTCCTGCCGAGAAGCGTCTGGAACAAGCAGACCCGGATCGGGCCTCCTTCCCCCTAACCCAACCCTTCCCCCCATACCAAATTTTCAGACGCCACCCCCCCCCCCCCCCCCCGCCGATGGGACCCCCCCCAATCGCTTGGAGGAGCTGCAAACCCCCACCCCCCCCCCCCCCCCCCCCACCCCCCCGCCAACCCCCGCCCCCACCCCCGTGGGTGGCTTAAATAGGGTCTATTTGGAAGCTGGGACTCGGGTTTTCTTATAGCCATACACGTTTCCACGAGGGTACGCTGCTGTCACGTCAGTCGTACTATGGAGGCCTCAGGAACAAGAACCAGGTAGTTCCTCTTTTCTCTTCTCTTTTTCTCCTCAATCCTAAAGTCGAAGGCTCTCGTGAGGAGAAGAGAAGGGAGAGAAGGAGGGAAAGATAAGAGGAACACGATTTTCATGGGAAGAGCCAAGAAAAGAATAGAAGAGAGATAAAACAAGGCGCAAAGAAGATGGTACTCTTCTTTATCTATCCTCTCTCCCTTATCTCTCCGTTCCCTCTGTCTTTTCGAAATGAGAAAAACAAAAAGAAAGATGAAAAGAAGAAGGGTTAGGAAAAGAGCCGAAGAGATAGGCCGAAAAGAGGGGTATGGTGAAGTACGGCAAAGGTCCACGCACAAGGAGTCACCTTCTGCTTACCCTTCCACTGCTTGATTTTACAAGCTCCTTTCTTGTGTTTTATCAGTTAAAATTAAAAGGAAACAGAAGGAGAGAAGGGAAAGGGAAGTGAGAGAGGAGAGACAACAAGGAGGCCATTTTAATTTCCTGTGAGTTATCAAAAGGAATGCAATATTATGGGAAGAGCAATGGAAAAAAAGAGTGGAAGAGAAATTAAGACAGGAGAGGGAGGTGCAAAAATAAGGCAAAGAGAAGATGGTGCCGTTTTCATCTCACCTCAGTTGAAAGACTCAAAACTCTGATGCCTGAGCTAAGAGAACAAGGCAACAAGAGGAAGAACCACAAAGGGTTGGGGATCAACACAGCCCTCGACCCTACGTACAACCCGCTCTCAGAGCGGCCCTTTTTCATCTTGAGCCAAAGGTCAGAAGGTAAGCCATCCTGATCTGCATAACATGACTATACATACATTACTTTACAGGAAGGAAGCTCGTGATTCTTCAACTCCCCCCTTCATGTTTGCAGATTCTCAAGTCCTAGAGCTCATTTGAAGCTCGATTCTGGACTTCAGGAAGCAACAGCTACGAGCTCAACTCTGCAGCCAAACCTACTGTCGATTGAAGTACAGGCTTAGCCATGTACAAATTGAATCCGGTATCTCAGGTGATCAGGCTGAAACGTAGACTCAATAAACCTTTAAGGTAATTCTACCTGCGATCTATACAAAACTACTCTCAACCGGTGCAGGACTGTGCTCAGGCGGAGTCAGAGCGGCGCTTGGGAGCAGCCGTACACTGACACAACGCAGTGCAAGGCTGAGGGCAGGCAAGGAGTGCAGAACGAGATCCTCAAGAACTCATTCAGATGACACAGGGATGATGGCCCATATCCAAGTGTCTGCAAAAGCACGATGATGGATACTGTACAAGACTACTCGTGACTACTCCCAATCAGAAGCACAGCTGTGCTCACGCAGAGTCAGAGTGGCGCTAGGCAGCAGCCAAACACCGACATCACACAGTGCAAGATTGAGGATAGGCAGTGGTTTAGGAACGAGTTCTTCAAGAGCTCTTTCGGATGACACAAGGATGAAGAGAGCGGCCGCTGGGCATCCGAGTGTCTGCAAGTTGCACAGTGATGGAAGTATCGCTCAGCTGAACAACCATCGCAACATTATCACCAGAGGCAATTGTAACAAAGCTTTAGGTGATGGCGAACACACTTAGCTGGGAACATCTGGCAGATGTTTAGTAGAAATGCGCAGCAACTTTAGTGCGTGAGCCCATTTCCGGATTGAAAGGGCCTTCGTCAAAGGATTACCTTTCTCAGCTTAGCTGAATATCCTTTCGGATAATGGCGACACAAGCTTCATTATTTGCGTGACACAAAAAGCTTGATGCCAAGAATCACGGTTTGCCAAACTTCAAGTAAAGGCAACGCGTCATTGAACAGGGCACTGCTCGAACACAACATACTCTCTTCCGGGAGCGTTGGAGTCGCTGAGTGACTTGAACACATGAATGTGATCAGCTGCGATGACTTCTCCAAATTCCGAGGCTTCCAGCAACGCGGGCGCAGAGTCCTCATCACGAGGCTTGCGACACACTCTTCTGGACAAGAGCTTGGATTGATTGCACACATCACAGAACGGGTTCTTTGGGAAGTGGAAGAAGCGATGCTTCACACTTACAGCTTCATCTCTCAGTTTGCGAACTCGATCACTGACATGTGCATCATCCACAACGGGGAATCCAGGTGGACTCAAATCTAGAGGCTTGTCCCCTTCAGGAAGTGCAGATGCAGCAGGACCATCAGGGCTTGCTTCGATAAGATGTTCTTTGGGTAACCCCCCTGACGAAGAGGAAGGTATCTCGGACGAATCAACTTCTGCGGGAATGACATCAACCAGCGGAAGATTGTCCAGTAGAAACCCAACTCCTATGAGAGCATCCAAAACATCATGCTCGAGAGAAGCAGGATCTGTTGCCGCACACAAGACCATCGCAAGTCGAACACCAGTCCAAGGCTTCGTGGCACGAAGTCGATCTTTGGCGGAAAACCAGATGACCCCTTTCTTGGACTTCAGTAGACCGACCACACCACCTCGACGGAAGCAACCTACTGCAAAGGACGTGTCATCGCTCGGCTCAATCCCTCGGGATGCGGAAACGCGTTTCATAAGTCCAAAGATCTTACGAACTTGATTGGGCTGAATATCACCACGCTTTGTTAGGAGGTCTTTGGCATACTCTTCAGCTGGATCATGGGCAACGGGACGCGAAGGCTCTTGGCATTCCTCACCCGACTCGTCAAGAGAATCAGCTGACGCAGCAAGACCATGGACAAACTGACATTTGCTGGTGAAGATCGGCACATGCTCATCTGTGCGCTTGGCATAAAGCTTGGCTTCTTCGGCGCAGTCGACCCGAAGCTTAGACAAGTCATGCGCGAAGAATGGAAGGGAACCAGGTAACCATATGAAGGCCTTCCCAGATTCAACATCCAAGCCAGTGCTTCGAACAACTGGGCAGTTGTCCAACATGTAGTGAATGGCGAGAGGCATATTGTCGGACGCAAATCCCAAGCTCTGCGAACCGGGCTGAGGTCCACCGCCTGCGTGGAACGTAACAAGGCTCGCTGAGCGCGCAAGAAACGACCTGTATGACTCCGACGGAATTCCCCGGTCTGCCAACGCCCGCGCCGATCCAAGATGCCGACCAGCAGCTGTGTGCGCAGCCCACCCAACGCTTAAGGCGTTGCTTCCAGGGATGTTGCACACGCTTGAGGCGGCAATCATTGCCACGACTGCCTTCGCAACGGCTCCTGTGGATTTGGGTTTGGGAGCGGCGGCCTTAGGCTTAGACTTAGGGTCAACCTTAGGGGTCTTATCAGGGTCATGACTGTACTTGCAGTCCTCTCCGTGCATGCAACCAGATGCCATCCTGAAGAAAATGCAAGGCGTCTTAGCCTTTTCTGCATCTGACATGCTTTTTGCTTTTGGCTTTGCTCTCGCCTCAGGCTCAGGGGTTGGTGCTGGGGTTGTAGACACTGGAGCCTCTGGCGGAGTCTTGGGCGCTGGAGGACTTCGCGGTGGCTCTTCGGTCTCAGCAGGTACCCCCCTGGCCTTTGCCTGCGGAGCTGCAATCTGCAGGGACTTGATTACCGACTGAGCATTGGTGTCTTCTCGTTCTTGAACGATGACGTCTTGTATCTTGTTCCATAGGTAACTCCACTCACGACGACGGGATTCTGGCGCAGATTCTCTGATGTCATCAATGACACGTTCTAGCTTCCTAATGTGCTTCACACGGTGGAAGAGCCATTCGCCAGTGAGGCGATCATCCGGCCTCTGTCCTATTGAATGGGATTGAATACAGAACAGTCCGAACGCGCTGCACAAAATCCCGGAGATCTCGAATGGAGTTTCCTCCAATTTCGACCTGGAACAACGTTGAAGCAGTCAGCACAGTGCCTCGAACGCGGTCAATGCTGAAATGACGAGCAAGAAGAGCAAGCATGTATCGACCTTTCGGCTGGGACCCTGTCTGGCCACACAACTCAACGTAGGCGATAACTTCTTGCGCCAACTCAGTCACTTGCTTCAACACACGCATGGAAGTCATCTCTCCAGCAATCCAAGCATCAAGGCGAGGAAGAAGACCTGATTCAGTAAGCTCTTCTTTTTCAGCTGTGAAAGACCGAGACAACCATGCAACAACCAAACCTTCGCCTGACATGTCAAGCTTGGCAATCTGGACCAACAACGAGTTTTCCCAGGCTCGGAAACCAGCAGCGTCGGAAGGAACCGGCTCAAGCTTGAGATGTAACAAAGCTCGGCTGTCAACAATGTGCTTCTCTTGCCTTTCAGGCTCTTCGATCTCATGAACAGGAGATGCATCATTGCATCCTGGATCCGTGCCATTTCTTTGGGCAAGCAGTTGCTGTACGACATCAATCAACTGATCAACACGAGGATCGGTAACGGTCGCAGGAGGGACGGTCGCAGGAGGGCAAGGGGCTGACTCATTGACAACTTGCGGCAATGAAGGTGCACCACTACTATCCTCATTAGAACCGTTATGTACCCAACTAAACCCACCAGAGCATGCACTTGACGCAAGTACCGGCGGCTTATCTGGCTGGCGAGGAGCAGACGTTGGAGGCGAAGACCCAGGACTCGTGGCGCTTGCAGCAGCCTGGCGAAGTCTCTGAATCTCGCGGTCTTTGACTTGCAACTCGACACGTAGCTGGGTGTTTTGGAAGTTCAGCAAGTTGTTGTCACCCCGGCAGCTGGTTAGGGCGGCTTCAAGCTCTTGGTACCCTGCACGAGCGACCTGAAGTTCTGCTTCGGCCTTGCTTAGCTCGGCCTTAGCTACAGAGAGCTGTTCTTCCAAGATTCGACCCTGTTGAAGGATCTCATCATAGCGATGTTCGTACTGTTGCAACTGCTCACGCATTTGCTCAACGGTGGATTCAACCAAACCTCTAGCCTCATTCTCAACACGCTCTAGCCTTGTGGCATGCAACTGTTCAGCATGATCAGCAACATGTTGCGCTGCTTGCGCTGCGGCTAAACGCTGTGCATCCAAAACCTCTTGCGGAGAGGCTCCAACATTCAGGATGTTCTGTGTGTATGAGGCTTGAGCGGTTAGATTAGGGTAAGGGCTTGAGTGCTCATGAGTTTTGCGAGGTCTAGACAAGGCTTGTCTAGTCAGAGGAGGGGACCTTTCACGGACCTCAACTGCTGAACTACTAGCAACCGAACCACTATCCGAACCAACACCACCTGGCAATGCCGTGGCTGAAGCACTTGACAAATCAAGCACCGAGCTGGCTTGATTGCTAGGGTCAGAAGGAGAAGACATTGCTGTGGGAGGTGGAAGCGGTTAGCAGCAGCTCACCGCACCCTTTCTTTTGGCGGAAGAGGCGAGGCTCACGGCGTTCACTGGTGCAACAGTGGAAGGATGTGGCGAAACTTCGCCGAACTTTCCTTCAAGGACAGGCACTCCGTTCACTCCTCGGAATTCGGAACAGAGTTGATACACCAGTTGCAAAGCGACTCTTCTGCTTCAATCAGACCAGAAAAACTGGGCACCGTAGATCGAGGATAAACTCGCGTTCCGCGCTTAGCCAAAGAAATGTGGAACGGAGTGATGAATGATGCTCCGGCACACTCGTCCACAACTTCTGCACTGTCGTCAACAATGGCAATGGGACAACGAGCAATATCAAAGACCTTCTCCAGCAGCGCCCGCTTTCCTGATTCACCCGTGGGCTTGCGGGTGATAAAAAGTAGCGAGAGGACGGAAACTCCTGCTTCACGGATGAGCCGATCAGTGCTGTTGCAACTCGTGCCGAGAACTTGAGCTACTGTGTCAGAATGACGGCAATAAGAAAGCACCACCACCAATATCTGCCTGCTTGCGGTCCGGATACTCTGGGCAATCGTCGCGCCAATTTGTGCTCTGACGAATATCACGGTCAAGGACTCCGTGAAAATCAAAAGCAAGGACTGCACGCGCCTGAGCCACCTCGCAGGAGCGCTTGCACCTTCATTCGAGACTGGAGCCGCTCCGGATGCCTCGGGGCTCAAAAGCACCTTCTTGCTCACTGTCCATCCATTCTCAGGCAGCTACACTTAGGGTCTTAGCTATGAAAGCAATACGGCTGATAACCAGTTGAAAGACTCAAAACTCTGATGCCTGAGCTAAGAGAACAAGGCAACAAGAGGAAGAACCACAAAGGGTTGGGGATCAACACAGCCCTCGACCCTACGTACAACCCGCTCTCAGAGCGGCCCTTTTTCATCTTGAGCCAAAGGTCAGAAGGTAAGCCATCCTGATCTGCATAACATGACTATACATACATTACTTTACAGGAAGGAAGCTCGTGATTCTTCAACTACCTCTCGTTCTTATCTTCCTCTTCTCTGGTTCTTTTCCCTGTGAAATAAAAAACAAAAGGAAGGACAATGAACATATAAAGGAACCCGTTTTCGTTTTCCGTTTGGGCACAAGGAAAAAAAACAGAGGCGACAGGGCGAGAGGAGGGGTTTGCTGAAGCATGGGGAGGGTGTACGGGCAAGGGGCCAACTCCGCCCACTTCCCCCATCCATTGAAAGAGGAAAAGGAACAGGGCCTCCATTCCCCTCTTATTCTTCCTTTCTTGCGTTTTTGTCGTTTAGAAGGGAACAGGAGAAGAGGAGGGAGAGAGAAGGAGAGAGGAGACATAAAAAGGGTTGCATTTTAATGGGAAGAGCAAAGAAAAGACCAGAAGAGAGATGATGGGAGAAGAGGGGGAGACAAAACAAGGCGCACAGAAAATGGGCAGATAAGAAGAGAGGAAAGGGAATGACCAAGTACAATGAGGAGTTCTTCAATTTCCCTCCCTATCTCTTATGTTACTTTTCCTTCTTGTGGGGTGTCCTTTTTTCTCTTGAAGATGCAGAAAACGATTGAAAAGGACACCCGTTCCATCGCCCATATGTAGGGAAAAAGAGAGAGAATCATGAGCATCAGCTGGGCTTGCTGCCAATCCAACATGGGCGTCCCTTTTAATCGCATTCTGTGTCCTTTTTTCTCGCTTGAAGATGCAGAAAACGATCCAAAAGCACATCTGTGGGAGGAAGAGAGAAGGAGAGAGGAGAGATACCAAGGATTGCATATTTAATGGGAAGAGCAAGGAAGAGAATAGAAGACAGATGAATAGAGAAGATGGCGCTCTTCTTTATCTATTCTCTCTCCCTTGTTTCTCCCTTCCCTCTCTCTTTTCGAAATGAGAAAAACAAAAAGGAAGAACTATGAGAAGGAGAAGAGTAAGGAAAGGAACAGAAGAGATAGGCCGAGAGGATGAATATGATGGAGTATTATGGAAAGGCTCACGCGCAAGGAGTCACCCTCTGCTTACCTTTTCACTGCTTTATCATATGAGTTCCTTTCTTGTGTTTTATCAGTTAAAAGGAAGCGGAAGAAGAGAAGGGAAAGGGTAGTGAGAGAGGAAAGATAACAAGGATGCTATGTTTCCCGAAGCGTGCTGCAAGGAATAGAAGAGACAGGAAGCAAGGAGACGGAATCACACAATAAGGCGCAAAGCTGTACATATCATCTCTCCCTTGTCTCTCCCTATTCCCTTTCGAACTAGAAAAAACCATTCTTGCTTTTCACAGATAGGTTCCCTCTCTCCTCTTCAGGAAACCCCCTTTCCCTTATGTTGCTTTTTGAAGCGAATAAGAAAAATAGCAGATAAGAAGAGAGGAAAGGGTCAATTTCCCTCCCTATCTCTTATGTTGCTTTTCCTTCTTGTGGGGTGTCCCTGTTTCTCTTGAAGATGCAGAAAACGATTGAAAGGACACCCGTTCCATCGCCCATGTGTAGGGAAAGAGAGAGAATCATGAGCATCAGCTGGGCTTGCTGCCAATCCAACATGGGCGTCCCTTTTAATCGCAGTCTGTGTCCTTTTTCTCGCTTGAAGATGCAGAAAACGATCCAAAAGCACATCTGTTGGAGGAAGAGAGAAGGAGAGAGGAGAGATACCAAGGATTGCATATTTAATGGGAAGAGCAAGGAAGAGAATAGAAGACAGATGAATAGAGAAGAGGGAGAGACAAAACAAGGCGCAGAGAAGATGGCACTCTTCTTTATCTATTCTCTCTCCCTTGTTTCTCCCTTCCCTCTTTCTTTTCGAAATGAGAAAAACAAAAAGGAAGAACAATGAGAAGGAGAAGAGTAAGGAAAGGAACAGAAGAGATAGGCCGAGAGGATGAATATGATGGAGTATTATGGAAAGGCTCACGCGCAAGGAGTCACCCTCTGCTTACCTTTCCACTGCTTTATCATATGAGTTCCTTTCTTGTGTTTTATCAGCAGAAGAGAAGGGAAAAGCCAAAATTGAGCCCAACATTTTAGGACCAGGGCTTGCGATCTGACTCTTTGGAGCAAAAATCGATTCCAAAATCTTAGGGACCAGGGCTTGCGATGTTACTCTTTGGAGCAAGAAATGAGCCCAAAATCTTAAAGACCGGGGCTTGCGATTTCACCTTTTGGAGCAAATACTGGGCCCAAAATCTTAGGGACCAGGGCTTGCAATTTGACTCCGTGGAGCACAAATCGCCCCCGAAATCTTAGGGACCAGGGCTTGCGATTTGACTCTGTGGAGCACAAATCGACCCCGAAAACTTAGGGACCAGGGCTTGCGATTTGACTCTTTGGAGCAAAAATCGACCCAAAAATCTAAGGGACCAGGGCTTGCGATTTTACTCTTTGGCGCAAAAACTGGGCCCCAAATCTTAGGGACCAGGGCTTGCGATGTCACTCTTTGGAGCAGAATTGAACCCAAAGTCTTAGGGACCAGGGCTTGCGATTTGACTCTTTGGAGCAAAAACTGGGCCCAAAATCTTAGGGAGCAGGGTTTGCGATTTGACTCTTTGGAGCAAAAACTGGGCCCCCAATCTTAGGGACCAGGGCTTGCGGTTTGACTCTTTGGAGCAAAATTGGACCCAAAATCTTAGGGACCAGGGCTTGCGATTTGACTCTTTGAACCAAAAACTGGGCCCAAAATCTTAGGGACCAATGCTTGCCATGTCACTCTTTGGGTAGCAAAAATTGAACCCAATCTTAGGGCCCTAGACTTTGCGATGTCATCGTTGGAGGCAAAAACTGGGGCCCCAATCTGCGGGACCAGGGCGTGCGATTTGAACTCTTTGGAGCCAAAATTGAACCAATTCATTGGGCGACCAGGGCTTGCGCGTGGGTTAAAACACGTTTGCTGATTCTTCCTCTCCAACTTCCCTCTCTCTAGGCCGGCAAACAAGCTTTGTCGCCCCCAAAAAGTCCTCTGGGGGGGCGATGTTACTCTTGTCCTTTAGTGGTGGACTGTTCCAAAATTGAAACCCAAAATCTTAGGGACCAGGGCCTGCGATTTGACTCTTTGGAGCAAAAATTGACCCCAAAATCTTAGGGACCAGGGCTTGCGATTTGACTCTTTGGAGCAAAAACTGGGCCCAAGATCTTAGGGACCAGGGCTTGCGATGTCACTCTTTGGAGCAAAAAATGAACCCAGCGATTTGACTCTTTGGAGCAAAAACTGGGCCCCAAATCTTAGGGACCAGGGCTTGCGATGTCACTCTTTGGAGCAAAAAACGAACCCAAAATCTTAAGGACCACTCTTTGGAGCAAAAATTGAACCCAAAATCTTAGGGACCAGGGCTTGCGATTTGACTCTTTGGAGCAAAAACTGGGCCCCAAATCTTAGGGACCAGGGCTTGCGATGTCACTCTTTGGAGCAAAAAATGAACCCAAAATCTTAGGGACCAGGGCTTGCGATGTTACTCTTTGGAGCAAAAACTGAGCCCCAAATCTTAGGGACCAGGGCTTGCGATGTCACTCTTTGGAGCAAAAATTGAACCCAAAATCTTAGGGACCAGGACTTGCGATGTCACTCTTTGGAGCAAAAACTGGGC